TCCCAGCGGTGGGGGAGCTCTAACCTGGCTGCAGCTGTGGATCTCCAGCCCCAGCCAGGGAGCTCCGGCCCCACCCCTGGCCGCAGAACTCCAGCCATGTTCTGACTCTAGTGGCCAGGGAACTCTGGCCCCAGCCACTGAGCCAGGCAGCTGCAGAGCTCTGCCCCAGCTGTGCAGCTCTGGCCCTCGTGGTAGTGGGGCCAAGGAGAGCCCTGGGGGGCCGAGGCAGCAGCGGGGTCAGGCGAGAGCTCTGGCCCAGTGGCAGCACGGCCATGAGGGGAGGGACCTTCCCTAGTCCAGAAAATCCCCTCGTTTGGGACAGTCGGGTCCAACCTGTGTAGCTGTAAGCTAGTTGTGTTTTGAAGGAGACCCAAGCACTAATGCATTTTGTGGCAGAAATCAAAGTCTTGGTATCAAGTAGTTACCAGACATCTCGTCTACTTAAGCGTGGCATGTAGTGATCAGGGCTAGGCTGGTAACCTTTTGCTGGATATATGGTTGTCTTATCAGGCATTAAAGGGTTTCTAGTAAGGAGAATGTATTTAAGTGCATGAAAATTTGATCATGAATCACTCTCCTGATGTTTTCATGTTTGTTAGCTGGAACGTTCTGATTTTTATATTAAACCTGTTTTTAAAATCGAAGGCATCAGTCATTGCATATTACTAGAAAAATTATTTGCAAGGCCTGGTAGGATCCAGGTTAGTTCTCGTGGGATATCGCTCTTTTCCTGAACCTCTGCTAGGTTAATACTAGTCAGAAGAGCATTGAGGGGGATATTGGTCACCATTAGCTGCAGTGCCTTTCGTCTCCGTTAGAAATAAATATACCCTCCTCAGAGGAAAGGAGCTGCCAGGCTGGATCAGGCTGGCCCTCTTGACAAGTATCCTGTCTCCCCGGGTGGCCATCCCCAGATGCTTGAGAGGAAGATGCAGGAACCCTCCAGTATGGGATGTGGGCTAATCTGCTTGCTGCTCACAATAGCTCTCCTCTTGGTCACTGTTCGTGAAGAGATTGTCTTAAACTCTGAGGCATGAGGTTTAATATCCCTTCCAAAATTTGGGAAGAACTGAATTGTGCTAGTAACAGCATCCAATAGTGTGAGTGACATTTATTTATCCCTTTTTAAGAAATGAATGTGTGATTAAAAGTAACTCAATTCGGAGGAACTGACCCCTTCTGAGGCTCCACAAGGTGTCTTCCTTCCATCTTCTCCCCCCTCCTCCCCACTTGCTGGATTCTCTCTCAGACCTTTGCAGATCACTGAGCAGACACAGTGTCTCAGTAAGGAATATAACTTACAGTACAGGCTTAAAGGCTGACCAGCTTTCAAAAGTCTAGGGGTGGGAACTTAAGGCCTAGAGGCCTGCTGCAGCCTCTGGCTTGCCTGGCTCTGCCCCTCAAGGCATGCAGCTCCCCCCAGCATTGGGAAGCCCGCACTGGTGTGTGAGGGGAATGTAGGGAGGGTCTTTCTCCCTGTCAGGGGCCACCACATTTGTGTACGGTCCCTGACTGATTTTTCTGTGGGTCAGCGGCTCCTCACCCAAAAAAGGCCTAGAGTAGTCCTGCTTTCTTTTGGAGGAGGGAGGAAATAAATCTTTGGTATATCTTACCTGTTCTGAAATGCCACTTGCATTCTAGAAACAAAGAAATAATTGAATCCCTTGCATTTATTTAATTTCAGAGATTGACCGTCCTAGAGTGTAACTTAACACACTGTTTGCTTTTCCTTCCCCCACTGGAAAGTGTGCTAATGTGGGCCAGGACATTCCTACTAAGTCAAAACATTTCCCACCCCTTCACCTCCCCTTGTGGCATTGGTCACTTCATCCTTGCTGTGACTCCTATCGGGAAAGAAAAGGGATTGTGACCCTGGAGATAGTACAACTTCTCAGATTTGTTTGGAGAAAAAATAAGATGTCACCATCTCTGTGATGCACTGGTTGTTGGTGCCAGTTCTCTCTAGCTGTCCAGCACTTTGAGTTCCTGGCCTTGCTTGGGAGGTCAACAGCAGTACTTTTTGAGAGCTACTGGCTTGCCTTGGAAGGGTTCAGTTGGAGGAGATAAGCACAGCTCTAAGGAGATACCCCAAAACCATGGCTACTTGTCAAATGCTTCCGATCACATGGTAGTATTTGTTTTTCCCTGCGCTGGTCGTCAGAGACCTCTCACTTTTCCCCTTTGACTGTTCTCTGTCCCACTAGGCTTCACATGGCAGTCAGCCGAGTTGGATGTGTTTTTATTCCAAAGCTAGTCAGTGCACCAAAACAGTTTGCTAGGACACAAAACAACACACTCTCTAGCTTCTGTGGGCTCAGAGCCAGGGACCCAAATTCGGGTCTTCTGCTTGCTAGCATGTTGTGTGCCCCCACCCATTGGGGCATGCTTCAGTATTTTGGTGAGAGCAGTCACCACTGCGGGTAGTTGCAATTTGTGCTTGAGCTGCTGGAACTGGTGCTTGTCAGTCAGACACCAGGCTGTGCAGGCTGCTTGGTCAGCTGCCAGGGTCAGCTGTGCTAGCTCCCAGTGAAATAATAATGGCTACATTTGAAACAAAGGTGGCACTCTGAATAGCTAAAAAGTAACTTCCCCTCCTTGTATGAAGACTGAGGGAATGCCTCCTTGACTTCATGCCCTTTAACATATTTCTAATGACCTTAAGATCTTGATTGGTAACAAATACACATACATTTTTGAGTTTGGAAAAAATGCAGCACCTGTTAAAACTGATTCATCACCAGGAACTAAACTTCTTCACGAGTCTCATAAATCGTGGGCAAGAGCAGTTGTGAAAACAAACAGTAGCTGCTCCAAACTGACCACCTCCGGTCGCCCCCACTCCACAGGATGAAGTGTGGCAGTTGGGTAGGAGGAGTGAGGAAGAAGCCTCATTCTGGCTGCCTACTGCAAACGGCCTGTTGTCTGCCCCTACTGGTTTCTGCCTAACAAATGGTGTTTCTTTTTTACAGCATTTTGATCCTGGACTTGTTGTGGTGATGGTAAACTTAGCAGTGGTAATTTTTTATTTTCAGACTGAATTACTCCTTTTGTCATCAGTGCACCAATATGTTAGGCTTACTTTCTCTGTTGTAGCCTTCATCCTTCTGCTTGGTCTTTCATTTCCTTTCCTTTCTTTATGCACACTTGTCTGATCCTTGTTCATTAAAGGGTATTGCTAAGAAGGGATGTTTCTGTTTGTGTTAGAACTGCCAAAAATCAGTTTAAACATAAAATTCTAATACTGTCCAAACTTGATTTCCCCAACATGACAGGCACTAGCACTTGCTACTGCAATTTATGAATTTAAAAAACTCTGACTGCCTTAGAAGGCAAAAGTACTGATTCATTGTTTGTATGCAGGGGTTTACCAAGGTAATGAACTTGCACATAAAGATCATGATTCTTGCAGAAACAAAACAAAAACTGGAAAACAAAAATTCTTTTTGCATTTGTTCTGAATCATTCTATTGGATTTATCTTTTACCAGTAAATCCCTGGCTGAGACGTTATGAAAGTGATATTGCACTTAGGAAGTCATTTTTATAACCTGTCTTTCATTTGGTCCTTTTGCTAAAGATTGCAGTCACTGCTTACTTATTATACCATTGGGCGCCAGAGATGCATATTCTGGGTGAAAATTTTACTGTTAAGTACCTAACATGACAGCTAAGTAGCTAACAGCTATTTTGGATTGGCTGAGATGGCTTAATGAATATTTTTATCTTTGGCTTTGTAGTATGCCCATCTAAATGGTCTCTGGGCATATGTACAAAAAGACAAATTGCAGTTATAAATATAAAACTAACTTTCTCCAAAGTGGAAATTACTCATCATACTTATTTCCTAGTTTAATGATTAAAAATACACATGTCCCCTTGGATGTGCCCATAGAGTTGGAGGGCCGTGGTTTAATAATTTTTGAAAGAACCAGAAAGAGATTCCCCTGCAGAACAGAGAAACTTGATGTAAATCAGAGGCGGCTTTTCTGACATGGCTTAAGAACTAAGCCTTTTTTTGGTGCATGTGGATTAAAATAGTAGTCCTAATATAGTCTTATTTTTGGCATGATTAAAAAGAAATCTTTTAGCCCAAAGGTATAATATATGTGTATGTGTGTATAACAAAACAATTGTTTACACAACCAACCCAAGAATAATCATAAGGGAAGTAAATATTCTGTTCTTTTACTCAAGGTATGCTCCGGATAAGGTAAGTAATTTTCAGTGGGCTTACATCACAACAAACAGCGCAAGTTGTGATGTAAAAAAGCTGTGGTAGTAAAGTGCTTGTCTGCCCCATTTTGCTTTGTTTGGCTGGTTATGAGTGGATTAAAGATATGTAAAAATCCTCCAGCATAGTTTGATTAGTTCAAAGTCAATTTTCTTCGCAACTAGTCCTTTTCACAGCTTACAGGTTACACAGTCAGTAATAGAGCAGTTTTTAGTGGGAACATTAGGAAGCCAGTTATGATTAAGTATCTCTTCTGGATCTCATGCCTTTTTTAAAAATTTTATTTAGTTAGTTATTTTTAATGCGAAAATTCTGGCCTACCATGCCTGCCATGGCATTAATTTTTTAAAATTTAGTAAGATACAAAATTTGATGGTAAACTAATGTGGTTGTACAATAACACATGGTTAGTGCTTGTCTTTCGACTGATGGATCAGGGTTATAAGCTCATGGTGTCAGGAGAATAAGGAAAGCAACTTTGACTCTCCAGGTACCAAGCCTTGGCAGTGTGGTGGAACATTAGCCAGTGATGCCAAATGTACCTTTTGTTAATGTTCTGAGAATCCCAGTAGTAAGCACCAATGGGCTAACAGATTTGGAGCTGAGAAGCACATTTGGATGTAAGCTGTGAGAATGGCTTGTGTTTGGTTCACTGTAGCTTTCTGGTCTCTGCACTCAAAGGCAAGATCTCTAACCACCCAGCGTAATGTGTAAAGTGAGCTGCTGGAGCAGACTTGGCCTCTCACCTTGTTTGGGTGTTTCTGTTACAGGTAGAACAGATCCCATCCCTATCGTCGTCAAGTATGATGTCATGGGCATGGGCCGGATGGAAATGGAGGTAAGTTGATCCTGATGCTAAAACATGTTCCTTAATTTGCATTGGGTCCCAGAGTGCAGTTGGAGAGTGATGTAGAAGTATGAACTTTGAGCAGCAAAGCCGGAGAAACAGTTGGCCTTAAATCTGCACTATAGGACAAGCTTTTCTCCTCAACACATACGTTAGTTACCTATGGCTAACTGACTTTTGAGGCCTGGAGACTTTTCTTTGATTCCTTGGCTTTGGGGGTTGGATTTTCATGAAGCTAAATCCTTTCCTGGCAATGGAAGGCAGCAGCATGGAAGGATTAATGAACTATTTTGTAGGCGACGGGATGATGAAGCAGGGAGTTAAGCACAATACACACAGATTCTGTGTTCGAACAATGGAATAAATAACATTTTCTTGGCTATTTGGGTGCCACCAAGAATTTACAGGAGTAATTCCATCTGTTCTTATTGCTAAGCTTGATTATGCCGAAGATGCCACTGAACGGAGGCGTGTACTGGAGGTGGAAAAAGAAGACACTGAAGAGCTGAGGCAGAAGTACAAGGTATGCAAATGGACAGATTGATGCCTGAGATTCTATGGGTTGAATGGGAGAGACTTAGTCCTGATAGAACAGAGCAATCGGGTCATGGAACTCCAGGATTCATGGTATAAACTCTTGCACTTTGCTGTGCTCCTTTTTCTGTAATACGGATGCTGGGCTGCTGAAATGTGCTGCACTGCGGCGTTGCCCATTGACCACCTCTCAGGTAGTCACAGAACAGCCACAGCATGCACAGCAGCTATGCAGGCTTCCACAGCACTGCGTTCTTCCCCGGGCTTCCTCCCGGACCTGTGGCCCATTTCCAAGCTCTTGGCTTTCGGCTGAACCTGCCACAAGAGGGCTAATTAGTGCAGAATCAAGCAGTGTCATTCATGTTAACCTCACATGAATAGTAGGGAATGGAATAGTACATGGAACATCACTGGAATGGTGCATAAATGCAGGTTTTCAAGAAGGTAGCACACTGGTCTGCTGTACACAGATTGAATGCATCTAATTAGCAGAATTTGTATATGCTTCCAATATACAGTATTCTAGTATTCGCTCTGAAGCAAGAAGTTTCCTGTTACATAGTCTGCAAAAGTCTATGTTGAGCAAGTCAAGGGACTGCTGCTGCTTAATAGTAAAATTGGACTATCCTACTGGCACTGAACGTGCTGCATTGCAGTATAGGCCAACATCACTCGTGGTGCGGGGCCTCCAGGGGAGAGCACTGTTCTATATCCCTTCTTTTGCTTACCAGCCATTTTCCGTGAAGCACGTTACATCATGGCAAAACTTGCTCGTTCCGCTGTCCTGGGCTAGTAGAGGCTGATGGGGATGCGGAAGAGTATCAGATACAAGATTTAAGGGATCAGTGCTACCAGAAGCTTGTTGCTTTTTGGAGTGGTAGATTTCCGATGTCATTGAAGCAAAACAAAGCCATTTCAGTTATAAAATACCCACCACTGCACTGGTGCAGAGAGCACTGCACTGAAAGCAGTTTAGTCAACTGTAATGTCTCTGTGCTCCCTTTTACTTTGCTTTTCCCTACTAAATTAAGGCCTTAATCTGCCTGTTAACATGAGCTTCTGAGAGATTTGGTGGTTATAAAAGTACATGACCGGCTAATTACTTTTTGAATTACCTATTACAGTAAAACTCCATTGGTCCGGCATCCAGTGCTCCGGCACTCCTGATGGTCCGGCACCATCAGGAACCCGGAAGTGATCCAGCTGCCGGACAGTTGGAGCTGCTCTGTGCCCGGCTTCCCCGATTCAGCCGCTGCTGAAACTGACCAGCAGCTGAATCAGGGAAGCCCGGGGCAGAACAGCTGGGGTGCTGCCAGGTTGGTCCCATAGCGCTGCCCCTCGGGGCTGCGGGACCAACCCGGCAGCATCCCAGCTGCTCTTGGGGACTCCTGGGGCAGAGCAGCCGGGGTGCTGCTGGGTTGGTCCCGCAGCGCTGCTCCTCAGCATTACTGGACCAACCCAGCAGCACCCCAGCTGCTCTGCCCCAGGCGTCCTGATTCAGCTGATCGGCAGCGGCTGAATCGGGGATGCCTGGGACAGAGCCAGACTATCGGAAGGGGGGGCTATGAGGAGTCTGGGGTGGCATCACCCCACCCCAGACCCATCATAGCCCCCCCTTCCAATAGTCTGTCATAGCTGATAATCCGGCACCCCCTGGGTCCTAAAGGTGCCGGATTATCGGAAGTTTACTGTACTTCTGAACTGAGGAGTTAAACGTGTCTTTTGTCTCATTTAAAAGGGTATGTTTTAAATGGGCATATGCAGATCGTGGTACACAGCAATGTTCCCTCCAGTCCTTTTCTTCTAGGGGTGGATTTTTTTCCATCTATGTGCGGAATAAATGTATGTGCACCCAGGCATGTGCAAACATGCCCACCAGCAGAAACAAAAACCTGGCTGTGGGCACTCTGCTGACCTTCTGGGCAGCATTGGACTCTCTCCTGGGCAGCCGCAGAAGCGCCCAGCTTACAGGGAGCCTTGGTAAATAGTGTATTTCCTTCTGCCCCTTTGGCACACTTCCACTTCAATATAGTCTTTCATTTTGGGGTGACATACTGTCCAACAAACCATTCACATGCTGCCGAAAGAAGAGGGTTTTAGTGCTGACATCAGCTGCTCTACGGCAGTGTGTGACTACAAGCTGGACTTGGTTTTCCTATAGTATACCTCTAGCTGTGCTGCCAAAGATCTGCAGGCAGCAACAGCTGAAGGCTACAATTTTATATTTTCATTAAATATTGGGAGGCAGGAAGCCCTTCTCTTCTGTGACTTGTGTAATGCTGTCTTGTCGTCTTCTGCCCTGCTGTCTGTAGAGCAGAGCTCTGAGGTTTTCCCTTTTATCTTTTCAAATGCAATGGCATGTGTGTGTTGCTTTTGTAACTCTTTGAAATCTGAAAACTGGTTGACACTTTCTCCAAATACAGATTTGTTTTACTAGCGTACAGGGAAGCTGACAGCCTGCGCTGGCCCCAGAGCAAGGGATGCAGTGCAGGGGGCAGCTCTGTGGTGTTACCAGATTTGCCCAATACTCTGGGATATGCTCATTTATCAGGGTTACCCTTATGAGACTGGGGGAAGGTTAACAGTTCTATCAGTGTGCTGTTGGTGCTTACTTGGGCTCTCATATGGAGCTGAATTCTCCCTGCTGCCAATTCCCCCTCCCACTGGAGCTCTCCTGCAGGAACTAGGTTCCTCAGGATGGGGTTCTTCCCACCTTAGCAACACACACAGACACTCACACCCACTAATCAGAGCACGTCTGAGAGGACTGGGTACTCAGCACTCACAAGCTGACCCCCTCATATGTCCCTGGACTCAGCTGGCTGGGTTTCACAGCAATGCCACACTGCACCCTCATGTGCCTTTGGACTCCGTGGGCTGGATTAAACAGCACTTTAAGCTGCCATCCTCATAAGCCCCCAGGTTCAGCACCCCCTATCCCCACTTTCACACCACAGTCATTCACAGGTAAACCACACGATGAGCAAACCCCACAGGATTTTGGGCACTACAGGGATCTTTTGCTTGGGTACAAGAAGCGTTGTTGCAGAGCGAATGGGGAAGCCAAAACAACACCCCTTAAGGAAGAGTGAGCAAAAGAGAAAGAAAGAGAGAGAAGCAACCAGCTTAACAATGAAAGTGATTTATTTCTGAGTAGTGAATAGATATCAAACAGTTACAATATTAAATCTAACAATTACAATATTAAATCTAAATTGAAACTGATTACAAACGTTAGGTAACCATATAACAGTTTACACAGGGCAGGGTCAGGAGGCTATGCTTAGAGAGATAGTTGAGAGAGAGAGAAAGAGAGAGAGAGAGAAAGAGAGAGACCTCACCACTCCACGGAGCTTGCACTGATCGGGGTTCCCAGATGATGATGGTAGCCGGGGGTCCAGAGGGCAGGAGAAAAGCAGGACAGAGCCCCCAGCACGATCAGACAGGAGATGAAGAAGTCTCAATGGAACTGATGCAGTTTAAGTCCAGGTATCAGAACAGTTTTCTTGGGGCAAGGATAGGAGTTTTATAGAGATAGTTCAAAGAGAAAGAGGAGAGACAATAGAGACTGATCACACCTGGTTATGGGTGATGTTCCTTGAACGAGCTCACAATGCAACTTGGCAGTTTCAGTATTTTAGATGTCAATAGGATCGTTACTAGAATTGGTCTGATAATGACTAATTTGGGTGTGAGCAGGCCTAGGTTCATTAGCATCTGGAGCAGGGATTTCCCATCAGGCAGTGCTTCTCTGCTTTCGGTGTCCCATAGTTCAGTGCGGTTCCTGCCTTGGAAGAGCTGCTCTCCATTCTGTATGCTAATGAGATGTCCCTCTGTTCCAACTTTAATGCAAATGAGGCTGGGGTGTTTCCTTAATTATATCACCCTTGTCTGAAGCAGTTTAGGTGCGTCTTCCCCGGCCTTTTCATTGCTTTGTCTTTGATTCTAGCAGAGGCCTGAGGGAGGGGGATGGTTTTCCATGAATGTCACTCCCTGACTCCCCAAGAGCACAAGGCTGACAGGTGACCATGTTCTGGTTCCCCAATAATCACAGAGCTGGTGGGTAACAGTGGGGCCAGAAGCAGCCATCCCTCTGCACCACGCAGAGTGTTCCCTGTCCCCAGCCCTCAGACACCTGGCGTGTGCAGTGCAGCGCTCTGGCGGTGTTTGAATCACCTCCCCCGTCGGCAGGGCTGTTGGCATGCTTTGTCACTAGCCATTACATTCCTGTATTCATCTGTGGAGCTTTCCCCAAGCACAATTGTTTCACTGCTTTGGAGTAAGCCATTATGTAATTGCTGACTGTGGCCACATTGCTATTACCCATTCATGGGGCCTCAGGGATTTCAGATGGCTCTAACCAGAAGTGAAGCCCAAAACTGTTTAGTTTCCTGCTCGGGTGTAGATTCTAAACAGGACTATTTGAAGAAATATATTGTTAGGCCACAGGATGCTTTTTAACCTTTTCTAAACACTAATTCAGAGGAGGAAGTGTTGGAATGCCGTTGTTCCCCAAACCTCACATTGCTTTGCTTTCCTTCTCTGGTGTCTTCATATTGAGCAGCTCTAGACTCAAACCCTTATTTTTCATGCCAGTGTCCTTAGATGGTAGACAGAGCCTTCATCTTGCAGCTGGAACTTAGAATAGATTTTTACCTAACTGCTCATAATCTCTTTAAAAATATTGTAACTAAGTTCTTAGTGAGGATTTTTCCCATGTGGTCTAAAAAATATTTGAACTTAATCTTGTATTACAGTGTGTAATGCTCACCTTTAACATTAAAAAAACAAACAAACCATAAAACACTCATGAGAAGTCAAGACATTAAAAAGCAATTAATTTCTCTGAGCAAATCTTAGCTAGTGGATTCAGAAGCAGCTTTGCGTGTACACTACTGCTAGTTTTTCTATTTCCTGTCCTTTCTGTTCTTTAAGGATATTAGCATGAGGATTCAGAACTCATCTGAACCAGATATTTATTCCCCATCA